CTGTCAGTGCAAACCTCCCAACTAGAAGCTGAATTTATCAAGTTTCGTCTTTCAGAACTGTTAAAATCATTCTTGTCCAAGTAGATAGTGCTGACAAAAATGGTCATTCGATGAAATACTCTTTAAAAAAAGGCACGTCCACCAGCTTGTAAGTACAGCCCCACTGAAAATATTCATCAAAACTGTAACAAAGCACAGCTAAAGGCCAAAAAATTTGTATTTGCTGAAAACTAAAGAAAACGGCAACAAAAAGAAAACCAGATGAAAGTTTGTTGGCACTTGCAGGATACTTGTTCAGGCCTCTTACCCTCTACTATTTGTCTGTGGAACTAGAGTCTTTTAACCTGTTCTAGCTATTCCTCCCATTTTCATTTCAGTGTGTTTTACTTTTCTTTTGCTTGAACAAGTTTATAATTAACATAAAATAAGCCTGATTTTAATTGAGTTAGCATTATCAGCACTTTGCACTAATTTATATACCCTTTCATTTCCTCTTTTAAGCTCTTTTTAGGTCATTCTTAGGCTTGGGGCTGCGCTTTGGTGCACACTGTGCAAAGGATATGGTGGCTGAGCAGAAAGGGCTTAGATCCCAAAGCCTCAGGGCTTACTACCACCAGATGCCTGAGCTGAAATCTCTCTTTTGGAGTGCAGTTCTTCTGGAAGAGAACCAGAGGAGCTGCAGCTGTGCCTTCTTTACCTACGCCTGGTACTTACAGCACCTCCGTGGCTAAAGGGACCTGTGGTCAACTCCTCAACTCCTGATGGACACAGCCTGCAATGTACCATGGGCTGGGAGAGTTAATGGTCTGGTGGAGACTGTTCCACCCACGTGGGAATAATTAGCACTGCAAGGACTGTGAGGCCCCAGGCCACTGCCCAGGTCATGCAGATGGAAAGAAGAAATGTGTCTAAGCCCCATGCTGGCTACTAATGGCATACCTCGGGGATACTGGGACTCTTGGGAGCATTTCTCTAGACTTTGTGCTGTGAAGAACAGCTGGCAGTGGCAGCAGTCAGGGGGTGGCTGCTGCCCAGCCCTCCTGGTACTGAGGAGGTGGCTTTGTGCATGCCCCTAGGGGGCTTGATTCTTTCTGGGCCTATACGAAGATCTGGAGGTCTATGTTATTTTTTTATTATTGAAGGCTTGTTACTTTAAACCCGCCATGACTGCTGAGGCTCAGTCCTAGAAACTGTCCATCAGGGATGCTTTCTGGCTGCCATTACAGGGAGGGGCTCACTGACAGACAGGTGTCTGGCCTCACTAGGCCTCATTCGGCCTCACTAGGCTTTGCAAGGGCTCGCTAGACTTTGTTAGGTTTGCTTGGCCTTACTCAGCCTCGCTAGGCCGCACTAGGCCTCACTAGGGTGCATCACTGCCCAGACAGTTCTCAGCTAGGCCTTGAAGCCAGACCCAAGTTTAATTTTCTACTTCACCTCAGTTTAAACACAACACAGGCTGCTCTGTACCACCCAGAGCTGGCACACGGAGTGGATCTGCCATGACACTGCTGCATGAAGGCTTTTCTTTAGAGGCTTTGTGATGGGCACCACCTGGGCAGCAGTTTCACACATGACATTGTTTTTGTTTTCAGTTTGTGTCGGAAAAGGCTTTTTGCTTTTGTTGTACCGCTCCCAACATTTTCTGCTCTTTCATTTTTTAATATTGAACCTGTGCTTTGTAGAAAGGAAATAGGTCAAAACTTTATTCTCCCCAGCAGCAAGTTGTTGGCTCATGACTTCTGTTACAACTAACTATCAAAGCAATGAAAGCCCTCACTTCACATTGAATTTGGGCTGCCTCTTGTCACAGGCAAGTGCGTGGCACCTCCTTGGAGCAGAACCTTAAATTAAAATATTGTAAATTTTTTGCTGCTCCAGCAGTACTGCAGAAATGCAAGTGGCCAAGGGGGGAGGAGGTTTTTTTTTCTCCTGCTGGAATTTTTCACTATAACCATCCTCAGGGGAGTTCTCATCTTCAAAAGAAACATTCCTTCTATACAAGCTGCAAAAAGAATTATTTAATGACATCATAAATTAATACAGAGAGGCACAAATTTTCCAAAATGTGGAGAGAGAGAAAAAAAAAAGAATTATCGTTTGCCAAAAACACCCAAGCTCTTCCAGACTTAGGCCTCTCCTGAGCCTGGGAGCTGCCAACGATACCAAACTGAACGGTGGAGTTTCTGGCATGACTCAAGTTTAGCTTGTTTAAATTTTGGCAAATGCTCGTATTACTCACATACTCAGCAAACTGATACAAATATTTGTTCTATTTAGAGTGAAGTCCAAACTCACTGCTGGCACCAGTGCTGCTGGACTCGGTGGAACTAATCTTGCTCATGCCAATATTAAATTTGGACATCTACCTTAAAGAAAACAGCCTTGAGGTACAGATTAGAATACATCAATGGAAAACAGAACTTGTGTGTAGCCAAGTTTTCCTCACTTGCTAATTTTTGCTTTAATCTGATTTGAACTGGAGCACGTTTTTCTGCACATGGGCTGCTACTCGCTGTTATGATGCAGCCACCAGGTCAGAGTTGGAGCTGGAAAAGCCTTCACGCACGTGAAGTTCTCTGCATTCTTGAGAAGTGAAATCTGTAGTAAATAGAGCCTGGGCACAGTGAGCATATTTGATTGATTTTAGTGCTGTACAGGTTGGTTTTTTTAATGATGTCTTCAGTTTACTGTTTCTGGTTTGTAAAGCAAATAGACAAACAACCAACCAGATGGGAAATGCAGACCTGCCTTGGGGCTTGGGTTCCTCATCTGGTCGCACCTGTGCTTTGCCCACAAGCTCTCTCTGGGTTCGGATTCAAAAAACAGGTTAGGCATTTTGCAAACAGAAGAGCAAGACAAAAACCACCACCCTTCCATTCCTTAATGCAGCCAAAGCATGCCCCAAGGGCGTGCTGGCTGAGGATCTGTGCTCAGTTCAGCTGTGGTTTGTAAGCAGCATGCTGTTTAATGCTATCTAAATGTTTTTATAAAGGTCAAGTAGGAGTGGGATCCTCCTAACTTAACTTTAGCCATTTAGAAATGAGAAATGTAGTCTGCCTGAGCTAGATTCCTCTGTGAGTGGAAAATATCAGCACCGCAGAATGATTCATCCCATTTTAATCCGCCTGATCTCTCTCCACTGACTATAAAAGGGGCCTGGATGACCAGATTAGCATATACCCAAATTTTAGACATGTATATGCTCACTCAGCATTTTACAATTGGCCCTGCAATGGCCATACCAGGTACTATTTTCATAGCACTAGGTGTGCCACAGGGCTCCACGCAATGCCTGTACAGTTCCTGTGGCTCCTGGGGCAATGAATCTTGGCTGTGAGCATTGTGCATTGCTGCATGTGTCCTCAGCCTGAGTCTTAAAACTTGGATTGCTTACAGGTTCAGGGCTCATCTGTACTGCCTTGACAGAAAGCTGCTTCCAAAACTGCCTTAGATATATAAATATTGTATTGAGTGACATAAAGTTAAAGAAAAAAAAAAAAAGTTTAAAAAAGAAGCAGTGATTACTCCGTGAAAAGGGCAAAAAGAGTCAAGTGCATCTGGATAAAGTGTGGGATTGGTGTAATTAGACAGAAGGAGGAAGAAGAGCAGGCATCTGGTAATTCACCATGGAACAGCTTTATGCTTGTTATTGAAACGCAGCCAGAGACAGTTAATAGTAGTAAAATGACTTTATGTTCTGATATGTAAAATAAAATGTCCATGCTATGTAACAAACAGTTGAAAATTCCACACCACCTGTATCTATCGTGGTTTCTAATAAAAATTTATCTGTAGTATATATGTTTTTTATCTAACCAATTCTTAGTTTTTACATCGAAGGTGTGTAATTAAAAAAAAAATCTTAAATAGATGTCTTTCAAAAAAAAAAAAAAAACAAACCTTGCAACATTCATTTTTATTAAGTATTTCATTTGTAAAAAGCAAAGCTGAATTGGACACGTGGCCTGCATTTGTGATATATATATATATTTTTATATATATATAATATATATATATGTATATAAATAGCTATTCAGCATGCAAAAATTGTAGTGATTTTGAAAATCTGATTACAAAATGCACACCGGTCACACACTGTCTGCTGAATGTGTGTACAGGTTATCCAGGTGGGAGCATGACCTCCATGGTGGCCTCAGGGCTGCCCCACTGCGAGCAGCTGCCTCGTTCATCAGCCTCTCTTCGTTGGAATGGATTCATCCAAATGCAGAAGTGCCTCCTGACTTCTAAGTATGTATTTCAGCCTTTTGCCTTTGCCCAGTTGGGAAGCAAGGGGTGGGAAGCACAAACCCAACCCTCTGATCACGACTAAAGCTTCAGTACTGCGCTCCTTAGTGGAAAAAGCTCCCAGCACCACCGCTATGCACCTCGGCAACATAGAGGAGGGCACAATCCCTGCTGCAGGGCTTTTCGGGTGAAATCAGAGAGAGTTTTGTTCCGTAAGGAGCACAGCTTCCTCCCACGTGAGTCGGCTCAGCGATTCTCAGTGCCTCCTGGGGGCACTCTGTAAGCAAAGTCAGCACGGATGGAGTCAGCTCAAGATACTTCCACGGTAAGCAATGTAGCAATGATAGCAACCTATACATTGGTCTTAGATTTTTACCTGCTTTACAAGTAGTTGTACACTGTAAAGCCCGACAGGCAATGGGAACTCCTTCCGCTCCCACCCCACAATTAAAGACTGCTTCTCCATGCCTCCTTTATGCTGAAAACAATTCTTCCCAAGCTAGCTGCAAAAGAAAAAAAACACATAGCACAAAAAGCGCGTTTCAGCTGAATGCAAAAGAAATGAAGGACCAGCAAATACAGAAACCCTTTCTGGAAAGTATTAGCGACTTTTAAGCTTAAACTTCATAAATATATTGCAATAAGCAAGTGTGATTTGATCAACAGAGTCTGAAGACACTGGGTCTGTTCCTAATGCTGCAATTAATTTGCTGTTTGGCTCGGGGCGTAACGCTTCGCTTCTTGGTCTCCCACAGCCATGATCGATGGGGGAAGAAGGGACATTTGAGCACCGGTGCTTCTCCTCTCTGCGCTGCACCTCACCACTGGCATCAGAGGAAAGGAAATTTCTGCAGGTGGACAGAGCCTAACACGTGCTGCTACAGCAGTCCTGGAGCTACACAGCCCAAGAGATTGTGTCTTCTGTTGGTTTGGGGGATTCTGTGACTTTGTGAACCGAGTACCATACAAGTGAAGCTCGTGTTTCTCCCAAAAAGCCAAAATTTGCTTGTGGATGTTTACTGTTACAGGCAAAAGTGAATGACAGACGGCTTCACTCGTTAGTCCAGAAGATGGTTTCTACCAGATTGGTAATGAAGAGGTGAGAATTAATTCATTCGGAAGTTAGTCAGAGGCTGATGGATCCAGGAGTCGGAATTCTCAGTGTGCCCAGAGATGGGCACTCCCCGCGCACACGCGTCCCTGGGAAATGCATGCTCGTCTCACCCAAGTGCAAGTTACCCACAGGTATAACGCTGCCTTAGCACCGTCCCGGAGCGGTAACGCAAGCTGCGGCACCGCTGGGCCCACGGAGTCACCCATCCGTCCAGTTCTCCACCGTCCCCATTCCTGAATGGTACTGCAGTGAGGACTCCCGCGACAAGGAGAAGCTTTGGGAGTAGAGGAACTCATTGGCAGCGTTGAGGTGTGGGGAAGGCGGCTTCCTCTCACACACGGACGGGTGCACTCTTTCCCTTGGGAAAGACGATGGGGGGACGCGCTCCCGAACCTGAGACTGGGCCAGCTGGTTGTAGACACTGAAGTGGCTGTTCCCCGGGGGCTGTGAGCCCTGCCCCGCGATGGATGGGAGCCGTGGCATCATGGTGGTGGCTGTGAAATGGGCTGGGAAGGGCTGGTAGGGCACAGTTTCCATTGTCTGAACACTGTAGCTGGTGTAAGGTGCGACTGAAGTCCACATATTGCAGCTCAGCGGGGGAGGCGGAGGAGGCAAGTCATCCACTGCCGGCACGCCTGCGATCTCAGCCCCTGACCCAGAGTACATGCAGGCTTCCCGTGGGGCCACCTCGCTGCAGTAGGACGGGCTCAGCATCTGCTGCTCGTAGGGTGGTGGGGAGCGAAAGTAGTGATCATCACCCACTGACGAGGAGGCCTCCAGGTAGGAACGCTTGCAGGGCAGGTCCAGGTGCCGTGCGCTTTCTGTGGGAAAAGAAAGAGAGCTAAGGGATGGGGTTGAGATGGAACTTCAGAATGCAGGATTATTCCGCTACACCACCAGTGCTCTTTTTCAGACCATTTCAGTTCGGAAGGACAACGTGCAATATCAACAAGGTGTCATGTTGCAAATACTGGAGTAATTCCATCATCCTCCCAAGCATGCTGATGACATTTATCAGCGTAAGTAAGTGACTATTCTCACATCAGGGATTACTTCACCTTCATCCAGATAACAGAGGTCTGTGGCACTCCTGCAGCACTACTCCTGACAAACTCAAGAAGTCTCTGAAAGGGTCTTATCACAGCCCTCCTTCCTGTCAGTACGAAAATCACTATACATTTCCCAGATATTCATGTCAAAAACTGCAGAAATATCTCAAGATAAAGGAGACCTTTCCCAGCTGCCCATCCTTGTTCTCAGCCTCACATACGGGAGCTCGTTAGCTGGTCAGAATGCTGCATTTATGAACTCATCTGCAAAATAAAACTCATCTGCTAGAAGGACATATTTGCTTCACAGTCCTTATTTCTGGTGTTATTGAATTCCTCATTTGCCCACGATCAGAGGATTCTCACAGCTTAAATAAATTAGCAGCCAATGAGACATGCAAATAGAAGGATTTGGCTGCGTGAATAATTTTCCTTCTAACTTGAAACATGCCATGATCTCATCTGATCTGGACTAAAAGGAAGACAACGCAGCTACAGCTCGCTTCAAGTTAGGACCAGCTGATAAGAAGGATGCGTGGCCACCACCACCCCACTGCTTGCACTGGGATAACTACAATGGCTCCTCCCGCAAAGTGCTCATTCAGTGCAACTTCCTTAATGCTAATGGTGCATCAGGACATTTCAGGACAGATAAGGCCTCCTCCCTGCAAATATTATTAATTCAGATGACTTATCAAGTGATAATTATTCACTGTGGCTTCATTCCATTTGAATTATGTGTACTGATTGTAGGTTTTAGGTTTTTTTTAGCTCAGAGTCTCAATTTGCCTGCTATGGGACAAAACCACTAACAACTGCCCAAAAATCCAGCTTGTGAACCCTGACCCTCCAAAACACTTTGATCACTTTGCAGATTAAGGCCTAAGAGACACATCCAAAACAAACTGGGATTATGGGTAAGCTTTCAGTGCTCTTAGGCCTATTTGCTGCAATATTTTTTAGTGTAAACTCAAGTTACCTCTTCTCTTCAGGCAGTGATAGAAGAGCCCTGAATCTCTCTGTGCTGTGAAGGTGTTGAGTGACAGATCTTGAGTATCTGAGGCTGCGAACTGCATGTGAGCACCATTCTCATACTGATAGTGTTGGAGGGTCTGGTGACTGCCATGGAGCGGGTTAACATCTGGCTTGGTCGAGAGCTGGCCATGGCTGGACACCAACCTCTGCCTCATGATGCTTTTGGAAATCACTGGGTATTCTTTGCTGAAGAAGGTGAGAAAAATTATCACTGGTTAGACAGCATCAACATGAACAGAAGGATGAAATATGAGTTTGGCTGCCCCAGTGCATCCCCATCCAACGGCTCCACGCCTTTGCCAAAGCACGATGAGCTAACCCTCACCATGCTTCGGGTGTGGGCAAGCATTGCAACAGCACACGGAATGCGTCACTCAGCTACAGGAAGAGCTTTTCAGAGGTAGGGAGGGCATGAAATGCCCTGATGCCCTCAAATACAAGAAAATTGGATGCCCCGTGGCATCCAACAACTTTCTTCAAAGAGGTGCAGCATATTGACAGTAAGACAAGGGCAAAGGGGATGAGCAGTGCATGCCGGACACCACACAGCTACGCGCAGCAGCCAAATTCAGCCTGCTGACCCAGAGCCCTCCCAGCCATCCTCCAACCATACCTTTGGAGCCGTGCCACGCGTAGGTCGCTGTCGTCGCTTCCCCTGAATCCCTTTGCAAAGGGGTTGTTCTCAATTTTCAGCTGAGTTATCTTTAAGAGAAGGAAAGCAAGCAGAAATCATGTGAAAACAGATGAGATGCCAATGATGGGCGGAGGGGCTGAGTCCTCTGGTGCCCAGTGGGTTCCTTCAAAAGAAGACGTTGCCATCACCTGCACTGCTGCTCAGCCATCAGCCCCTGCCCATGCACAGCAGTGACAGTGGAAGTATTAAGTTTATGGAGCACTTTGGGGACCTCAGGGATGAAAGGCACCATTGACCTCGATATTTTAAGGAGGTATTAAATAAGCGCTTTCGAGCCTTTTTGGTTAACCATGTTTGGGCAATTGGTCATATTACACCAGTGTCTACAACTTTTCAAACAGGATTCACTTTGGTGCCTAAATACATACCTTTTTTTTCCCCTGTCTTACCGTACCACACACATCCGGGCTGCTACTCTGAGCCTTTTTACTGCTTGCTAATTGCAAAATCTTGCAAGGACTGTGTGCTTCAAAGGACACACAGCCATCTGTACAGGAGGAAGAGGCACCCAGGGATCACAGCAAATGGGACCGCAACCCAGTGCTGCCCTGACCCAATGCATGGAAAAGATATGGAGAAACCCAACCCTGCAGTCAGTGTATCGCTCTGCCACACACCCAACACAGAGCCCCAAGTCTTTGTGTTTTCTGTCCCCCTCCAAACAAAACACAAAAAACACAGACTCCTGGAGCCCCCTCCTACCTTCACCTCCTAACCACAGCGCAGGCTCTTAGCTCAGTTTTATGGTTACATTCCTCGTGTGTCTTGCTAAACACACATGCTATAATTACTTTTTGCTGTAGATTTATGAGCAAGCTTTTCCCAGCCATTATTAGATTTGCTTACTGTTTTGAATGACATCTCAGAGTTTATTATTATCCAATTCATTAGTTCCTGGACGATCAGGGCTTGCCAGGCTGCTGTTACCCAGTGCTTGTCGTGCTTCCCCTTAGCTGCATCCTCTGGCCCATCAGCCATGCTTCAAGTTTAAAGGGCTGCAGTGGAAACTCAGCTTTTTGAGCAGTTCTGTGCCCTCCCCGAGCAAAGCTATAGGAGCACACAGCCCAAAAAGGAGCCCCTTTGGACCCCAAAGTGCCATACCTTGTGGTTCTGGTAGGAGGTCACTGAGATAAAGGACGTCTCTGGAAACACGTGGGTGCAGAATGCCGTGTTCTTCGAGCCAAAAGCGTTGTTCTCATCTGCCTTCACAATGTGCAGCCGCGGCTGGTATTTGTGCATTGAATTGAGGATAATCTAGAAAACAATTGGTGCTAAAGTGAACAATCCAATTTTGTAAAAATGACAAGTCTTGGCCACTTGACAGCTTGGTCCCACTAGCGCTACACTTCAGCTTTGCTTTCAAACTGTAGGGGAAAATAACCCTGTGTAACGTGTACAACCCACGGCAGAGAGGGTATCTGCTGCTCTGGCAAGCGTTGCTGTGCTGAACTTGGAGCTTTCTGCCGAACGCTCCTTTTCTTATTGCTATTGGACAGAGTCAGCCTGGGTGGAAACAAAGCCATAAATTTTTTTCCCAGCTCACATTGAAGCTGCAAAATATATATAATTCACCAGCAGACTGGTCCATAAAGCTTCCTCATAAAATACTTTACGGAGCCGAAAAATAGCAAAAGCAAAAAATATATATATCACAGAAACCACAGAGGGGGGAAAAAAAAAATAAAAAAAATTATGTGTTTTTCTTACATCTGCTGCTAAGAGAAAGCTTCAACCAGGTTTTCTGCAGGTTGTGCAGCAGATTCCATGGGTACCCCTGCAGGTGAGACGTGGCTGGAGAATAGTGAGGAGGGGCTGTGGGAAGCAGTGGGCATTCACCCCCACCCCTGGTGCAGCCAGGGCACGCAGGGCACAGCACTGGACTCTGCCAAGGCACGCAGGGGCTGGTGCCTCATTGTTCTGCCACAAGAATGGCTGTGCCCACATGTGACAAAGTAGTTTTAAGAAATGGATTTTCTTCTAAGGAGCGGGATGGGTTTTAAGAAAAGCCTCTGTTCCTCTCTCTAGACAAAGAAAAAGTTATTTGCTTCTGGTTTCCTCAACACACCACTCTTCAGCCTCTTCCCACTCGCAAACCATCTTCCAGCTGTCCACATCCTGGCTGTTCCTGGGGCTGGATTGTCCCCAGCATGGCCAACACCCTGAGCAGCCACAGGACACATTCAGCCCCATGGGGATCTGGAATCGACAAGGAATGCTGCACAGGTTGTGTCTGCAAGAGGCGGTGGAGAGATGGGTGAATGGATGGGTGTGTGGACAGACGGATGGACATGTAGATGGATAGATGGGTGGATAAATGAATAGAAGGATAGACGGAAGGATGGAATTGATGAACAGATGGATGGGCAGACAAACGGATGGACAAATGGATGAACGGACAGACGGATAGATGGAAAAACAGATGAACTGATGCACAGAAAGATGGATAGATAGACAAAACTACAATTCGCATTAGTTTACACAAAGCGTGGATTTAGCTCATTTTAAATGAAAAATAATAACAAAGAGAAGTTTGCCTCAGGATCAACTGGACATGCACAGTCCCACAGTGCTGCACTCCAGCTGGACAGGAGGCACTGCTCAGGGCTTGTGCTCCCCACGCCCCTCCATCCGGCCACACGGATTTGCCCACAGTAGCCAGCTGCATTATATACCACTTAAACACAATTTTTATTGTTGACGTTTTCCAGACAACCCTCCTTGCTCCCCAAGAGAGAGAATGAGGAATTTTTGGCATTTTATCAGCTTTGCATCACGTCTCTGAAGCACTTTGCGGCTGCTGATACGCAGGCTGTAGAGCTGAGAGGGTCGGCTCAGGTTTTGGGTTGCAGCTTTTGCTGTGCTTTCATGTGGCGGCCTCTCGTAAAACAGCCGAGATGAGCAACACCAGAAGGCTCAGGCTCATAAGAAAGGGCACGTCAATTTTCAATAATTAAGGCTTGATAAATATGGGTTGTCTGGAGCAGAAGCTGAGGGGTGCTGAGCTTTGCTCACCTCCTGTCCCCAGCTGCCCGGGTCTGGCAAGGCAACATGTGGCTCCAAATCAGAGCAAGTGAGTGGCAGAACAAGAAACCCATTTAACCTCAGATTTCCAGCGGGTGGATGAGCAGCCTGTTTCCTACCTCCTCTCCAAAACAGTACCCTCCAGGGTATAAAGATTCCTTTAAAAACCCTTTTTTTAGCCTGTGCCTTTTCCAGCACCAAGACAAACTGGAAGAAGCCTTTGGAAGGATTGTTGACAGATGCTCATGGTTACATCCATGGCTACAAATCCTTCCAGAGGTTCACTTTGAGCTGCTTGATATTTGTGGGGAAAAAACACCAAAAAGGCTTAATCTAACCTACTGCATCATGCTTTTGTCCCTTGCCCCAGGGTGAAGTACTCAGCACTTTGTCCCACGTGCAGGATGCAAGCGTTGGGTTGACCTGTCCACTGCCTGTATTCCCACCAACAACTTTCTGGAAAGCAAGAAGCATGCACACATCCTGCTTGCTTGCCATTGGTTTAAGCACCGTGCACTCAAAGCCCCTGAAAATCATTCAAAAAATCCTCCCAGGCTGTAAACCTCGGCGCCTGCGCGATTGGAACGCCAATAATTTGGGATAAATACTTTTAAAGGCTGCGGTGGAAAACCGGTCGCTGGCTAAAAATACACAAAACAAATGTAAATTCCACTGCAGTGACGAACATCAGTGGAAAGATTAACTTAAAGAATTGTGTCAAAAAATGAGAGGCATTTTAATTGATGGGACAGAGCTTGGCTGCACGGAACTCAGATTTGGGATCAGCATTGCCTCTGTGCCCCACTGATGGCCACGAATGGCCCCAAGTCCACTGCCACAGATATGGGATTTTCCACCCCCATCTCACTCCTTTGTGGTGATCACACTGTTGGCAGCTGGAACTTTAAGTGTAATATAGTTCTTTTCTCCTTTTTTACGTTTTTTTCCCCTTTTTTTGGCACTCCCCACTCAAGAGCAAATGTCAAAAAATGGTGTCATTTGCTCCTTCCATTTTCCTTGAGATGCTCACGCAGTGTTTTCCAGTGTCTCAACCTGCAGGGTCCAAGTTTGCCACTTTGCAGGATGTGGCCCGAAGGGTCAGAGCTGGGCACAGCCCCCATCACAATCCCCAAAATCAGCAGTAAAATGTATTTACTTCCATATGAAATTTGGGGAGTTGATTTAAGAGCACTCCCTGTTCCTCCAAGGTATCAAATATCATATGATGCAGTGGTTGCCATGGCAACTGCCTTTTTTATATTGAATAGTAAATGGCTACGAAAAAGCCACATAATTTTATGGCCGCTCCCAGGGGATCACATCATAACTAATAGAAAATCTCTCATTTTTGTACATTTTTCTGCTTCTTTCTTCCTTCCCTCTATTCTTTTTAGACTGAAGCGCCCAGCCCCATGCCTGGGGGTCGCATCCTACCCATGAGAACGCAAACAGCCCCAACCAAATGCTATGTGCAACCTCCACAGCTCCATCACCACCTGCCCCAACCCTCCATGTTCCCATCTGGCCCCAGGAGGCTGCTGTAGGAGCAGAACCCAGGGCTGTGCTGGAGGACCAGCCCTACACCGAGCACATCCTGGCAACCCGCACAATGGGGAGAGGAAGGGAATGCTGGAAAATCCTGGGAAAAATTCAACATGAGCTCAGACAAATTGTTCCCTACACGAGGGCCAATGCTGTGATATTTTTTGCTTGCTTTCTTTCTCGGTCCTTTGTTGCCTAATGTCAACTGAAATGGGTAGTGGTGTTTCCTGAGTTCTTGACACAGAGATGCTGGGGAAGGGAAAAAATACTGTGCCCCATGACCATGGAGACATGTGCCATGACCTCAGCACAGCACTGCTCCTTTGGTGTAGGAATGGAACAAAGCCACCAGCACAAAGCTCTCTGCTGGATGTCACTGTTCAACCGTAACACAGCTAGAAGATGTCACCTAAAATTGATGGGTTATAAGAAAGGCAATACCAGCTCTTGGTATTCTGAGCTCTTCTTCATAACCATCCCCTAAAAACTGACCTCATACTTAGACAAAAGGGTTGCATTTTTTGAATGTTTTAAACGGATAGAGAAAGGAGGCACTGGGTGCCACCAGCGTCACCACAACTGTGCCATCGGGTGGTGGCCCAAGGCACACACCTGACCTGGCCACAAGGCATGGAGCAAGAAAGTGACAAATCCTAAATTGAATTTGGGGTTTTGTAAGCTTAAGAGGACACAAACCTAAATGGCCTGGGTGTTCCTGGCAAGCAAAGGGAAAGATGATGAAATTGAAAGAAAAGAAAAAAAAAAAGAGAAGGAAACCCCGAGTGATAATCAAATAAAACCAAGAGTACAAAAAAAATACGTATAGAGAGAAGTAACAAAAACTCATCAAAATTAAAGAGTAAAGCCAGAAAACAGAGGTTTGGGGCCAAGGAAAATCAAGAATATCACTTGAAACGTCAGCAGAAGTGATAGATCAGCCCTAGCACTCCGCAGCCTTAAGCCTTGGGAGATTACATCTGCAAAACCAAACCAGCACTGTGATGGGTAGCAGGAACAGAGCCCTGTAGTGACTCAGAGGTCCCAGGGAGTGGGGCAGGTGCAGCAGAAATATGCTAGGGGAGGGGGGTGAAACTAAACCTCAGCTGCCACCTGTGCCGATCTCCACTTCTAATCTCTGTTTCCTTGTCTGTTTTTCCACAGGAATATTTTTATATATTCTGTAAAGAGTGTAATTTCCAACCAATGCGGGCCTGGCCACAGCCTGCCAGAAATAGCCATGCGATGCAGTCACCCTCACCCAGCTGGCCCAGGGGATGGGCTAACGTCAGAGCAGAGGCTGCATCTCAGAGGGGCTCCCACCACCACCAAAGAGGACCAAACCTCAGTGCTCTGCGCTCACACCGACGCTGCACCGCTCAGCACTGCGTGCAAAACCAGAAGAAGTGACTTTTCTGACAGGGAGCTGCCATTGTGAGCAGCTCCAGCAACACCTCATAGCAAGAGGTGAAGGAAAACCCAACCAGAAAGACAACAAAGGAACACAGGTCCCTGCAACGAGCATCCCCAGGCCATAAGGGCCATCTCACGGGCACCCTCCACTTTGTTGTTTACATACTTGAAACCTCTGGAGAAAGTAGAATTCCATTCACTGGCATTTATCACTGTGGAAGCATTGGTTGTGACTCGCTCAGTTTTTCCCTGAGCAAACCCCTGACAGACACCAGCATCCTGCAGCCCTTCCAGCAAGCAGTTGTTTTTGTGATGTAACGATGGCTCAGACTGTGAGGGCTCCAATAGCACGTGGCAGGGCACAGCCTGCTTCCCCAGGGAGGAGGGATGCTCATCCTGTGCCCAGGAGCGCTGCGAGCAGGAGATGCCACCATATCTCCAATATCTCCACATCCCCATGCCCACCAGAAAGTCACACCGACAGTCCCCCAAGGCTCTATGCATGCTCATGTTTTGCAAAGCAATGCGTGCATCAGGATTTTGCTCAGATCATTGGTGTCTCAGTGCTCTCTTTAGCATCAGACCAACCTCCAAAGCCGAGCATCCCACTGACTGCTGATTTCTTAATCCATTCTCAACTCTATTCCTCAGCCTGATGTGAAAGGAACATTTCATGGTTGGAAAAAATCCCCCACGATCAGCATGGAGCCCATACCTCACAGACACTGCATGAGGGCACATGTTCCCTCTGCTCCCACAGCTCACCCATGGGAGTTTGCAGGCAGATCACAGTGCTCTGCACTTCATTTCTTCTTGAAAACACAATTTCTATTCTATTCCTTCCTGACAAACTGCACAGAGCCGTGCCATTACACACAACGCCCGAGCAGGGCACAGCTCATAGAACAAGGGCTGCTGCCCATGCCCTGCAGTGCTGCCCCAGCCCAGCCTGGAGCTGTGGGTTTTGAGGTTTGGAGGAAATCAATGACAAAAGGAAACAGGCAGCCAGCAGTGCTGGAGCGCGAGAAGCAAACAAACCGTGCGGCTTTCCACACTTGTTTGCTTTAGGCAGCTTCAAGAGAAGGCTTGCGACTGCTGGGTTGGATTCCTAGAAAGGAGGAAGCTGTGATTTAGCATAATGCAGTGCCCTATGCAGGAGTGGGGTGGGGGCAGCAGCACCGCAGATTGCAGTGTTTCCAACCCTGAACCTTCATGCTGAGCAGGTGCTGAGCCCAGGTTGTTCAAAAGCAAATTGCTCACTGAGCAGCCTCAGGAGGAACTGTCAGAGAAGCGTCTGAACCCCACGCAAAGTGAGCTCCATCCATGTCATGGTGAGGCTCCGTGGGAGGACAGAGTGCTGCCAAAAGGAGGAGAAAGGCTCTTTCCCACTCAAACGCAGTGTTAGAATTGCAGTTAAGTAATGACACAGTTGGGAGAAGCAACCATTTAGCGTTGCAAAAGCAACACCACGCATCCTGTTTGTTTTACAGGCACACCAAACATCCTGTTTCATGGTTTACATTTTACAACATAAACAGCGATATATATTAAGCTGCACTGCTAAGCAAGGGGAAAATGCAACGGGAGCACGGGAGGGAAACTGCAGAGCGAGCAGCACAGGGTGGCTGCACACACCTCTCAGCTCTGCTTCCTCCTGCACGACTCCATAGGGCTGTTCCCATTTCACTGCCACGGTACTTTCACCCTTAAAAATGAGTGAAGGATGGGGGGGTGGCTGTGATTGATAACATCAGCATGGAGCTTTTGGAGCAAACAGGGCAGGGCTGGCACAGCCGCTCTGCAGCAGCATCAGGACATGCATAGACGGCTTTGGGAGTGGGAAATTCACTGAAAATTGTGTGCAGAGAAAATTCTGGGCCCTATTTTCCTTTCTCCAGCCACTGAGGTTGGTTTGTTTCTATGTGACTTTCAGCTAGGACAGTGGAAGACATTGGATATGTTGTTTAACACATTGAGGTGAATAAGTGTCCATTTCCCACTTCTGCATTCACCGTAAACGTCAATTAATATATTCCAAATGAAATACTTAATCTTTCATAGAGCCACCAAAGCCAGCCTGGAGAAAAACACCTTCATGTAACTTGTTTCTGCAAGCTGCAGGGATGATGGCTGGGCTGAAAACGCCACAGCATCCCTGCAACCACACAACAGCCTATTCAGCATCCCTGCATCCCACCCAGCACTGCATCCAGCATGTTCCTTATGGGCCCAACCCAAAGGATTGCCCTCAAAGAACTTTTCTCTTACATGGCCGAATGGATCCAGGTGGTTGTTGGTGAGCTTCAGCTTCTGGAAGGACACGAGCTGCCGCATCCAGTGCGCTCCAGTGGCAGGTGAGTCAGGGTGCACGTACAGCCGGCCTGGCATGGCTGGCTCTGCCTTCCCAGCCACCATCCTGCAAGCACAGTGATCACATTGCAGCACTGCCTGCCCCACAGAAAGCACTGCCTTGACCTCCCCCTGCAAACCACAGTGCAGCCGTGTCATTGGGGATGTTCTGAGTCACCTATAGGCTCCCACTGCCCATGGGATCTCTGTGTCCCAGTGTCACAGCTGGCAGAGCTGAACCATCATCTCCTTGGGTCATTGTGTTGACATTAGCCAAGTAGGACACCTTGCTTGGGTCTTTGGAGATGGCTGGCCACGGATGAAGCCTTCCAACACCATTCAGCAGAAAACACTTCTCAGTGTCAGCTCCTATGGGATAATGCTGGGTGCTGCCCCTTGGCATCCACATCCCCCCTTTCCCACGTATCCAACCCTCCACCAGCATGGATGTGAAATCCCACTGCGATGCATCGCTTCGTGGCAGCTCCCCCATTACTGTGTATTGTTCTCTTCTCATAAAACACCAATAAAAGCATTATGACCAAAAACAACAGAGACTTTCCAGCAGCAATAAAATGAAAAGGGGAAACAGCTCTAGGGCTGGCAAAAGCTAAATTAAACAAAGTTAACAACTATCCATCATGCAGGGCTTAATGGTTAAAGCACAAAGTGGGCTGCGTGCTCCATCTACTCCTCTTACCCAAAGGCACTGCAGGACAAAAGAGAGTAGAAAATGAATTTTTGGAATCTAGAACAACCCAAATGTGCAAGTGAATTACTGCAGTTTTATAGGATGCTGCTGTTCCCATTGAAATGAGTATGAAGTTTTCCATGGCTTGTCCTGACTTTCTGCTTACTGCTGCATGGTGAAAAGATGAGCACAGCCCATTCCCAGTGAGGGAGGCTGCTGGGCATTGTTCTGGGGGAAAACAAAAGGGGAAAAAAACACGCTCCCTTTGTCAGAAAGCAAAACTCCATCTGCCTCTGGGGTAAGCAACTTTACTATCAAAGGCACAGCTAAGGGAGGGAATTACAACAGAGGGAAAAACTCTGGTGGAAGAACACTGAATGAAAAGGAAAGAGGCAGTGGGTGGGAGAGCTGTTCCCCCACATTTCATAGCTCATCCCTAAGTGCAAAATATTGCTGCTGGAGAAAAGAATGTACAGCTTCTCTCATTTATCATAGATTTGTGATTTTAAGGCTAAAACATACCATTGGGTCACCCCTTCCAGCCCCTGGCACACGCAGGCTGCAGGTTCACCCTCATATGCCTGTACTAGGCCAAGCAACCTATGGCATCTCCTCTACGATGACCTCCTGTCCTTTGGAGATGGATGACCCAAATCTACCAGCAGGCAATCCCTTGGCTTGTTCAGAATGCTCTCCTTAAATTTTTTTGGCTTTAACTTTCAGCCACTGGTAATCATTGGGTCTATGGCTGCTCTGTGCCAGAGCTCTAGGATGCCAGCATCACCCACAGGCAGTGGAACCATCCATCCACCTACAATTCATAATGAAAGGAAAGCAAGCACAAGAATGTCCTCTTACCATTTATTGTCACAGAATTTGTACCGGTGGTCATCAGCCGGGACGATGTCGATCAACAGAATGTATTTGGTCTTGGGATTCATTCCGGTCACCTTGACCTTGTAGCTTGGAAACATCCTCCTTAGGAAAAGCAAAGGGTTAATAATGCATGAAGGAGCAGCCCAGAGTAGATGGAAGCACAGAGCAGTGCCCCCAAAGGGCAGCTCCACCACCAGCATATGGTGAATCCAAGCTGGGACAGAGGAGCTATAAAGCAAACTGATGTCTACACAATGCCAGAGTGAGCATCGCCCTTCTCCAAGCATCAGCTGTGCATGGGAATGGAGAGCTTCACTGCAATCACTTGTTGTTAAAGATATCAGCATATATCTCACTTATCTAAGAAATCTTTACCAAAAAAATACTATTTAATACTGCATTTTATCAGTACATATGATCAACATATATGTGACCCAACAGATCACATTTCTGACCCTTCAGAAATCAGCAGCACTGGTGTTTGCACAGCTAGGCACTTGTTACAATCAGAAAAGATTAGCACAATGGAAGCACGATATAAAAACATAACCACAAAAGGAGCAGCACAGATAGGATGGAATTTCACAGGAAAATAAACGTGCTCACCCATCTCTGAAAAATCTCAGCTTGCAAAAAGGACTCCACAATGAGGGATCTCCAACCAGAGATCCTTCCCTAGTGGCAGTCAGCCCTTAAGTGGGGTCTGAGAGAGGTGCAGCCAGGCTTCACCACTTCAGACTCAGCTGAATTGCCTTCACCTGTGCTCCCAGGGCTGACGGATCCTTTCCCCAGGTGATCAATTGGTAGTTCAGGCCATGACTCTACAGTTCCCCTACATCACATCCTCTGAGCTGCTGTTCTCTTGGCTCCATCTTCACAATTTCCTCCTCACCCAGTTAAAAAACAAAACACACCAACCGAGTCAACGGAACAAACCAGCTCACCATGCTCTTCCATCAGTTGGCCAAGGCAGCTGCCAAACAGACTGTGACATCTCCTTGCCATCAGCACAAGGGGAGGGGAGATGAAAATGTTTCCATGCTGGGATCATTGATTGTTCTAATTAAGTCCTAATGTCACCGCTCCGCTGGAGGCCCTCCTCCAATCCCTTGGTCCAGCAGCACCATTTTGTAGCAGCGTGGGGAGAAGGCAACAAAATGGGCCCTGTTTGAAATCATCTCAATCGACTCTTTTACATGCCCTGCATAAATTCCAGATGTTTACCATGTAATTAGCCGGGACTAAAAAGGGGTGGTTTACCAATGTCCGTATTTGATTTTCATTCATAAACTCTGCGCTCCTCTTAACCTTGCCCTCATACAGGTAAGCACCTGTATAAATACAGTAGGACATTTCAATTTGTGAATACACAGCCCAATTCACACATTGAAAAAAATTGTGTAAGGAATCCAATCTGAATGCCAAGCGTTTTTTTTTTTGTTGTTGTTGTTTTTGTTGAAGAAGAAAAAAAAAAAAAAAAAAAAGCCTTAAAATTACATTTAAAAATGAAACCAAAAAGAGGAGGAACGGATTAAAAACCAGCAAAGGGAACGATGCGATCTGATGGTGGCTGCGCCGTACCCGGATTTTATAACATTGAGCTTCTGATTTTCTTTCTTTTCCTCAATCATTTCATTTACCAACATACATCCAAGCTGCTAAAGTAGCCGGACTGATATATTGTAAATGTTAAGTGCTTTTTTAATGGCGTTTAAAATTAAGCTTCAGCATATGGAGTTCATACAGCATGGACATGCCTGAGTTTATAATGTTCTTTCGTATAGCCCTCTAAAATAAATACAAAGAGCCAAAGTACTACTATAATATATACAGCCGGAATTCTTTAAGGATAACAAATGGGGACCCGCATCTGATGGGAGGTGTTGCTTAACTTGCGCGCCGCTCGCTATCTCATGGTGGTAGCGTTGGGCTCAGCCGTCAGCAGCCGCCGCCACGTTTGCCAACTCCCCACATTCTTTTCCAGGAAAACACGGGGTAGGTTTTAGTAATTTGGCTGCTCGTGACCATTTCATCATTATTATTAGCTGCTGCGTTTTGGCCTTTAAAAAATATATATATGCAACTAATGCGCCGTCCAGGGACTTGTCAGTTTAATTTTCTTAATGAAAACATATTTCTCAACCCCTTGGCAGGGGCTGGTTTAGTAAATACATCCTTGCAATAGGATACAAACACGGGCTGTGCGTTGCTGGTGGGGAGGCATGGCAAAGCGGAGCGCCGCGTCCAACTCAAAGCCGTCATAGAGCTTCGCTTAGGAATAAAAATACGTGGAGCACCGAATCCTTGTGGCTCCGTGCGGCTCCCGGCGCACGCTGGGACACAGCCAGCATCTGCCTGCCCAATTCATGGCTCCGGGCAGGAACTCCCCTGTGGATGGGCGTTCTCGCAGAGGATGGGGCATGTTGGCCAACTTTCCCCGACAATAGCTCACTTGATCATTGAGAGTGGCCAAAAGCTCCACCGCGTGCTTTGCTGCACTCTGTCCTGCCAAGATTGGTTATGAAAATGGTAAACTTGGGGTTTCTGGGGAGCTCGGTGGGGTTCTGCGCTGGGTGCGCTGCAAAGGGTGAATCCAGCATCAAGTAGAGCTTCAGCCATTGCCTGCCCACCTTCAGTTTGGATCCAAAGCCCAGGGGTGTAATGTCCCAGCATGCAGCAAGCCCCCAGCATGTACAAATACCACCACTGTCCCCACGTTGTGTTTTTTCCCCTTTATGCCCTTTTTTTTGAAGGACCAACACAGGTGTGACCCTGCACAAGCACCCAGCAAGAGTTGGGTTGGCAGACCCCAATTTTGGACACGTCCAAATGCCTCTTCTCCCCATCCCTTACCCCTCCCAGTGCAGAAGGAACCCTGCAGAACACACCTCGAGGGGCTCCTGAACCCCTCTGTTGGACGTCAGGACAGATGGGGACATTTCTGTGTCCCACAGGCAGGGCTCTGGCACAGCTCTGGTGCAGATGAAATGTACCAAAAACAGCAAAAGCCAGGAAAATAAACAAGCAGCATGATTCCAGAGCCCTCCCAAGCTTCAAAGATGATGTGCTGGTGAATTATTTGTTCTGATAATGAAGCAGTCACTGCTTAGCTAAGTTTATGCTAGGCACATTTTATCTCTATGTGATATTCACAAATTGTTTTAAAATGAACTGTTAGAATAAGCATCTCTTGTTTATTTATTTATTCTATTGCTACCCAATCCCCTCAGCCGTGCAGCAGTTACTGACATGGAGCCAAGGCTCCTATTATGTTCAAACAAAATTTAATTAATGTGTAATTGGTTGGTTGGATTTGGATCAGAGCAATAAGAGGAAAGATTTGCTTTCATTATTTGGGGCAGCAATTCCCTTCAGGCTCACGGTCATCTGACCCATATCTCAGTCCAGGTCAGTGTAAAGCCCTGGGATATGGGGACAGGGAGCAGGGGATGGCAGCCCTGCAAAGCTCAAACCATGTCCTGCCAAGGGCTGAGTCGGTACCCCTCTGAAGCACATGGGAACACAGGGACTGGAGCTCTCCCTGTGTCCTGTGCTGGCACTGATACTGCCAAGGCTCCCTTCTCTTTGGGCTAAAAATGTGCCAAAGTTCTTCAGCTGTTCAGAAGGTGAAGACTTGTTTCCAACAGCACTTCCAGCAGGATGAATGTTTCCAAGGACAGGCAGTGATTTTGCAGTCCTCGGTTTTGGTGTGGGCAAGAAAAGTGCATGGATTGGGTGCCCAGACATTTCAGCACAGCCCTATCTGGGAAGGGACCCCTATGGCACGTCAGGGCATGAAACAATCCGAAAAACAAAAAAATCACTCAACACCTTGGCCAATGTGCTGAAGGCTGCCTCCTCAGAAATGGGCAGAGATGCCTCCAGCGATGCTCCCAAAGCACCAATGCAGAATGCACACCTAAAACCCCATGAACTTGGCCCAAAATTCCCCATCAGAATTGGTGCCTATGGATGTTACTGCTCGTCTTCATGGTTAGGAGAGAAAGGAATGGTGTGTGGAGGCCCCAAGAACCACGTTCTCATTCTGATGAACTTTCCTCTTTTTCCTAATTTCCCTTCTTCTGACAAATATTTCTTCCATTGACTTCACGCATCTTTAAAAATAATATTCTCCGGGGCAGATTAAAACAAATTTGGGGATGTCAGCTGTTTCTTTTAGGCTTTTAAATGGCATTTCCTTTTTGATAGATTCTTGCTTTCAAAAAATACTTTAAAGAGATCAAAGAGTTTTCCAACAGGGTCCCATTTTCCCAGTGTCTCCTAACCTCAGTCCCTTATTTCTCTTATCACCCACGCCACTCCGCTATGACGCTCTGTATACAAAGTAAGAGCAGTTAACTTTGAAGTGCTGGATTAGCCCATGCCAGATCCTTGCCTCAGAATAACAAACAATACAGGTTCAACAGGAGTTCTCATCAGTAGTTCATTTTTCAGCCCCAAATTCACTGTCACTAACACAAGCAACATTGAACTCTCAGTCTATGGGCAGATAGGAGAGATTTATCTGGTGGCAGGACCATGACCTAGTGATGAGGAGGTCAGACAGTTAAGGGATTTTTATATTTTGGGATGGCGAGGCTTTATTTTATTCTTTTTTTTCTCTCTCTTTCTGGCATCCAATTTTTAAATAAAACATTGTTTCTCACGTACTTGAGGACTTGGTTAACTGCAGGGCTGCATCCATGGCTGAGGAACATGTCCTCCCCTGCGTGGGTGTCGAGGTGGTGCTGGGACCTCCATCCCCTTCTCCATGCATGGCCAAACCCCACAGCCAACCTGGGGAAGGCTTTGGGAACGGGCGTAGCTCTGAGCATCCCGAGGCTTCATGAACCCAACAGCGAGGATCGCAGGATGAAAAATAAAATCCCATCCCTGCCCGGCGTGCCAGAGCTCCGTCCCTTTGCCAAAGCTGTCGACATCGTTAGCAGCGCAGCCAACAACACAGCAGTTATCTCCATTTCCCCCCCAAGCAGGACTTTGCCCTAAGAGGGTAATTCCGAGACCCCAAATGTAGTGTTGAGCAGCTCAAACATTCCTGAAATATCCGCTTTATTTCCAAGTTTTAAGTTGATGGCGCACATTCCAGCGCTCAGCTCGGATATTAAGGTTTGCTTTTGGATCAAAAACTTTCAGGAGAGATTCTTATAGCTGCCTCAGAAGGTTCTGGACAAAAGTTTCCCTTTAATTGTAATGAGAACTGGGCATCCACATGCCCTACGGAGCCATGGAAAATTTAACTTTTAAAGGATTATTCGCAGAGGAAAGCTGCACCAGCTCAGCCAAAGCAGTTATACTTCTTCAGACCTTGATGTCCTAAAAACTACTTTTATTTTGGTTTACTAAAGTTGATTAGGAACAGATTTTTTTTTTTTTTTTTCTTTTTAAAACTGAAACGAGCCACTTTTAAAATGAAACCTGAACATCTGAAGGGGGGGTGC